TCACTATAGGACTGTATATATTTGAAACTGTTGATTTCTTTCTTTCCAACTTTTTAAAATCATTTTGTAGCTTACAAGGTTATCATATATCCAGGGATCTGATAATTATCCTGTTTTCTGTGGTCTAATTTACAAGTTTGCTAACAGCCCCATATTTTCCTAAATTTTCTAAAATTAAAAGCTCTAATCCCTACATTTCATGATTCTTGAGCATATCTAGCTTTTTTTTTTTTTTTTTACCAGAGGCACTTAATTTAAAACAAATTTTAAAATCAGAGTTAGATTTATCTTTTCCATGTGCTATACTGTATTGAAAATAATTGATTTTTCACCTCCTCTGCTCCAACTCAAAGTAGATCCAGATTTATCTGGGAAGATTCAACCCAAAATACCCTGGTCCATATCTCTTTTTCTTTCTCAGGCCAGAGAAAAGTGAATGTTCTAAACATTAGCACCATCACTGCCTGACTCATTTTTCTTAGAACGTTGCTACTCAAGGAGAGGCAGGTCCTCAGATCAGCAGTGGTACAACCTGGCGCTTGTTGGAAATGCAGAATCTCAGGCCTTACTCTTGACCTGCTGCATCAGAATCTGCACATTAAAGTGTGAGAAGCACCAAAGTAGACTATAGGAATCCTCCAGAATAAAATAAAACACCCATACCTGTTGATGCTCCTTCTCTTAATCAGGTACCATCATCAGAAAGTATCCTTCCTCTGAAATGTTTGCCCTCAACCCTTTTAAAGCACCTCCTTAATATGACTGTCACCCTATGTCATGCCCCTGAAAATTAGCAAGCTGGTATTTTGAGAAAAAGGATGACCTTAAGTTTGCAACTTCAGTTTTATCTAGACCTGGGGTTGAAAACTCACATGTCTATAGGGGTTAAACATTCAGATAATGGCAACCAACCCTTGTCCTTAGTGTCAAGGAGACTACAGAGACTGCCGGAGACTGTGGCAAACTTCAGAGTTCATGCTTTAGCTAGATAAACTGGAGCCGGCCAGGCATGGTGGCTCACGCCTGTAATCCCAGCACTTTGGGAGGCCGAGGCAGGCAGATCACAAGGTCAGGACATCGAGACCATCCTGGCTAACATGGTGAAACCCCGTCTCTACTAAAAATACAAAAAATTAGCTGGGCGTGGTGGTAGGCGCCTGTAGTCCCAGCTACTTGGGAGGCTAAGGCAGGAGAATGGCATGAACCTGGGAGGCGGAGCTTGCAGTAAGTGGAGATCACGCCACTGCACTCCATCCTGGGTGACAGAGCAAGACTCCATCTCAAAAAAAAAAAAAAAAAAAAAAAAGCAGCCATTTGGCTCCAGCCTAGTGTAGCCAAACAGGAGTGAGGGCTCAATATTGCCAGATCTTCTGATATTTCAAGAGAAGCTGAAAAATTTGGACTTCAAAAAATATGAAATCTTTCAATTTTTAAATGCTAGCAATTAAAATTTTAAAAGAACACCTCTGTGTGCCAGATCCAGTCCACCAGTTTGAGACCTTGGCTCTAAACTGATTATTTCCAAATTCTCTAAGTCTGTGTAACCCATCTGTGCTGATTTTCCTTCTTATTGCTAGTGCACCAAGAAGAGAGGCTATATCAATACAAATGGCACAAATTAAATCACTTTGACTACTGTATTTTAAAATTTTGTGTTTTGTGAATATTAAAAAACTGCCAAATCAATAATGAAAATGACCATATGTCAGTGATACAAATATCTCCTACATGTGAAATACATGTTTAATTAACAATATTGTCACTACTATGGTACAAATACTCAAATTTAGCCCAGTTCACGTATGTGTTAAGAATTATGTGTTCAAGCTTGAGTTCCAAATAATTCTGTAAACTAAAAGGCAGCCAAATGGAATAATTCTAAGTTTCTGAATAATAAAATTTATGATAAATACTGTACTAAAAGGGGATGCACCATCATTTAAAAGAACAAAATAGGCCGGGTGTGGTGGCTCACACCTGTAATCCCAGCACTTTGGGAGGACGAGGCGGGCGGATCCCTTGAGGTAAGGAGTTCGAGATCGGCTTGGCCAACATGGTGAAACCCCGTCTCCACTAAAAATACTAAAACTAGCTAGGTGTTGTCGCACGCATCTATAATCCCAGCTACTTGGGAGGCTGAGGCTGAGGCAGGAGAATCGCTTGAACCTGGGAGGCACAGATTGCAGTGAGCCGAGATCACGCCACTGCACTCCAGCTGGGTGACAGAGTAAGACTTCATCTCAAAAATAAATAAATAAATAAACAAGATATCCTCACGTGGAAACAGCAAAGCCCATTTTACTAAACTGTTCAATTATTCCAAACAAACATTTTAAAAATAGAGTGTGAAATGCACAGTTTACATTTATTTTCATTTTAGGGCCTTCGGGTCCCAGGGACAGCTGCATCCATGGCAATTACTGAATACTTTATTTGCACATGCTTATATGGAAGTGGCATAAATCATAGGCTCAAAAAGCAGAGTAGAGACGGGGACTTGGAACTGTACCCCTGCATCCATACCTGTCTACTGAATGCTGGGCAATGTAATCGAGAAAAGCAAAGCCATTTTCGGTTTCCTCGTCTGCAAAAGGGAAAATAATCTAGGCATGTCCCACCCTTGAAGAATATCAAACCCAAAATGTATTTTTTGTTGTTTTTGTGCTCACCACTACATTCCTGCCCTCGCCCATAGTAGGGCTGAAAGAATGAATGAATAAAAGAAAGGAAGAAAGAACACAAGATGCAATTGTGTAATCTTACATATTTCTGTTACAGGGAAACAGAATTTAACAGATTTGGCCGGGCGCAGTGGCTCACGCCTGTAATCCCAGCACTTTGGGAGGCCGAGGCGGGCGGACTGCTTGAGGCCAGGAGTTTGAGACCAGCCTAGCCAACATGATGAAACCCTGTCTCTACTAAAAATTACAAAAATTAGCCAGGCATGGTGGTGTAGAGACGCCTGTAATCCCAGGTATTTGGGAGGCTGACGCAGGAGAATTGCTTGAACCTGAGGGATGGAGGTTGCACTGAGCCAGATCGCACCACTGCACTACAGCCTGAGCAACAGAGCAAGACTCCAAAAAATAAAAAATAAATTAAAAAAAAAAAACAGAATTTAACAGATTCTATTCAACTGACACACCTGAGAAACTCGCTGCTCTAAAAAAAAAAACCCAAGGACACCAAGTTTTGGTCAACATAAAGATGTCACTGGGGTGTGCTTGATATCATAAAACCACTTGAAATGTGTGCTTGAAAAACTTCGATTTAAATGTTCCATTTTAAGAATACAGCCCTTGTACACATGGTTTCTATCAAAGTTTTCTGCCGATAAAGCTGATCGAATTTGCAGATTGCTATGGAATTACTAGGGGCAAACAATGCATGTGAATAGCCAGGTCTCACCTAGCTGGCATTTCCAGCTGACGAGAGGATGTCTTCATATCTCCTTAAAGAATCTTTATATCTTTCTATCTCCCTTCTTTATATCTCCTTAAAGAATCTAGCCTCTTTTATGTGGGAAAATAAAAATAAGAACTGGGAAAGGGCACAGAGTTTAAATCTCTGCTCTTTCAATAGGGTTCACCCTCAGAGGAGGCTGATAAGAGAGTCACAGCCTCCTACTTGAGCCAAAGCAGACTGTTGGTTTTCTCTATTGGGGTTAGATCTGTAGATTTGTATTTTTTGAAGATGGGTTTCTATCATTTTTTTTTTAAGCTTGAAAACAACCATTACAGGTAAAGGCTATGAATGAGAGCTATGGCAGGATTTAGACCCAAAAATGAAGATTCCATCTCCAGCAGCAGAGGGAAGCTGATGAAAGCTTTTATCACTGAGCCTGCTTCAAGCCCCAGGGCCTTGGAAGGACTTACAACTATCACCATAATTAATGAAATGGATAAAATTCAGGTTTAGCATTTCTAGAAGTTTGTCCTATGCTTTTTACTATTTAAGGTTTAATACATTTAGGTATTTGAAGAGCTATTTTAAAACCTGGGGGGAATTCTGCAGCAAGTAGACATAACAAAGGCAATTCTTGTCACCTGGTGAGCGTGTACCCTAACTGAAATCTAGGTATCTACACTGACCATGTGGCTGCGTGCAGGGGTGGGCAGGGTGAAGGTGAAGGCAAAAACGCAGCAACCTTTTGAGGGATGAAATGGCACATCCTGACAGGTACAGTGCTGGCAAAGGTTACATCCCCTCTTTTGAGCGCACGGAGACCGGGGCACAAAAAAGGAGGAACCATCCCTGTATTGTGCCTGGATGAGCCTTCTCTTAGATGCCTTCCTTTCATTATTTTCAAAGGTCAATGTCCCTCTCTCAAAGAGAAAACTGAGGAACCCTGAGTCAGCACAGAGTATAAACAAGTCACTGTGGCTAAATGAAGAGGACAGAGAATGCTTATCCAATATAAGCATTGGAAGGTCTTACTCAACCTGGTTTCCCACAGGTTGTTCTGAACTTGAGGGCATATCAGAAGAAAATCTCCTGGACTCTATTAATGTCACCCAGCAGAAGCACTCTTTGGCCTTCTATCACCAGATTTTGCAGTGCCAGTCCTGTACCCTGGCTCCTTCCACCCACGGAGAAAGATTCCTAAGAGCAGATCAGGTCAACCTAACCTCCTGGCTGGCAACAGAAGTCTCCCCCATCCCATCCCAGTATTTGCTCCATGTAGCTTTCCTGCTCCCTACTGTTCATGCAGCGACATTAGCAGATCTTTATTTTCAAGCAGACCTTCAAATAGTTCTGTTGTGCCTGGCAAACTCCCTTTTCATATGCCCAGGTTGAAAGCAAATGAGATTTTCCCTTGAAAAGACATTCTCCCCGAGAGCTAATATTTAGGGTAAGCAGTGACATTGGTTGGGTCAATTAAAATGAACCTTCTGAAACCTCCTGTACAAATAAGGCCCTTTGTACAATGCCGCCCTTAATACCACAACTTGGAAGGTTGGAGATCAGTGTGAGAATTTGTGGCAATTACTAAAACTCACCTCACGCTGAATGTGTGGCAGATAGGATGTATTCAGTAAGGGCTGGATACGGTTGAGAACAACTTCCAAGGCGCCTAAGTTAGGGGAAAAAATGAGAATCAAGAGGCAAAGTTACCTTTTAGAAACAAAGTTCTGAATTCTAAAAAAATAAAAGTCAACTTTCTTTGAAATGGCTCATGGTAACACATTCTACTTTGTATTTACAACCCTTAGAGTTAAAGGAAAACTGCCAAGATGTTCTGCATATTTCTCCAAATGTCTGTTTATCATATAACATGAGCACTGGCAGTGGATCTGGCTCCCTCATTATCAAGCTGTATTAGCTCAAACACTCAGCATTGTTAGGGGAGTGAGCTCATGGCCTATTTCAGTTTTAAATTAACATTTGGCAATCACCCGGGTAATCAAAACAAATGACTCAGTCGTTTAGAATAGATTTATTAGTTGAGCCTTTTTTTTTCTCTCTCTCTCTCTCTCTTTTAACATCTTTAGAATATTTTGCCACAGGAGGGCTCTGATCCAGCCAGAATGTAGAGCACAAGTCACCAGAGGAATATTTAGAGGGGTTGCCATGGAGACGAGGTGCCCTGTGACCGCTGAAGTTATCTCCAATCAACAGCAGGATTAGGATGCAGACTAGTGGGCAGGCTCATCCCAGGGCCAGGGTTCTGCAGCACTAGGCAACAGGGGTGCCCTGTGCCTTTCCCATCCCTGACACAAATATGGCCCACTACGACACGCTGCCCTCCCCAAGCCTGTGCAACCTCCCCACAGGCCCAATCACATCACTACCTTCCGCCCCCAACCCCACGATTTTTATTCAGAAAGGACTGGCTGGGGCAAAGGAGAAAGGGAGTGTGATCATTGTATTATGCCAAAAGTGTGAAATCCTAGAATTCATACCAAATGCCGCTTTTAGATCAACTATGAAAATGTATATGAGCGAATGAAATCTGAGGAAAAGACAGTGCCCTGGGCGGGAGACCCGGTCTGTTTTTTCACTGCTCTATCCCCACACCCAGGTCAGTGCCTGGAAGACAGGAAGCTCTCAAGAAGTATCGATGGAAACAGGGCAAAAATAAACCCAGGATTACAACCAGGTGTGTAACCACCCCTCCCACCCCACCCTCCAACCACTTCCAGGCTGATCTTCACACAGGCAGTGGTTATAGATGGAAAAACCGTTAATGTGCTGGTAAATAAACAGCTGAGACAGTTGGTTCACTAGGCTAACGGGTTCATCTGTTTAGAGATCCTGACGATGATTGTCAGGATCGGCGTCAGGAAGACAGGGCTGAAGACAGTGCTTCCCAACTCAAAATGGATAAATCTGCTGACTATAGGGACAGAGTTCTTGTCTGTCAGGCCAAAAGCCTGGAGGAAGGCAAATTTTGTGCTCATGGTTAAGCACTAACATTTGAAAGCAAATGTTTTAAAGTGACTTAATTCAAAGGAACACTTTCTAGTTTTCCTCCCACCTGTACTTAAGTAGAGACAATATTTCCATATTCTATCATATGAATCTGGATTGTTTCATGTTAGCTTTTGTTTGTCCTGAAAAATGTTAAGTATCTTGGTGGCAGGAACAAAAATCATTATTTCATTTCTATCTCCCGGTACTTAGCATGGTATGTTTACACAAAAGGTTTTACTCCATCTCATCTCCCATCACTACACTCCACTCATATAGAACTCACTGTTTCTAGAAGATTCCACATCCTCTCATGCAGCTGCAGAAGGAATGCAGCATGGCACAGCTATTCACAGCAGGGGCACCAGAGTCAGACTGCCTGAGCTCAAATACTGGCTCTGCCTCATATTACCTGTCCAGCCTCTATGAGCATCACAATGGTCACCTACCTCATAGAGGTACGGAGGTACATCCATGTAAAGCATTTAGCAGTGCCGCCCCCAGACAAGCTACCCATTGAATGTTAAATACATACTTATTACTGTTATCATAGCAGGCAAAGAGTCAAACTGTTACCAAACATGGACAATGATTTCACATGCCACCACAAACGCTTGACACCAAACATACCTCTCTTTCGATTTAATCCAACTGAAGCTTCAAACCTGAATCTGTCACACACTAGCCTTATCATATTTTATCTTACTCACCCTTCTGGAATTGATTTTTCCTAGAGATGGGTACAATTCATACTGATTCTACTTGATGGAATCTGGTTCTCTTTTTCAAGAACCAGAAACATTTCCTTCCTAAGATTCCCACCTTGCCAATGACTTCCTTGTCATCTCTCTGTGTGTTCCTCACCTCTGCACATTCCAGCTTGAAAGGGTTACAGGTGGGGAAGGGACAGGGAAAGTGTCTTCCAGTAACCAGATTGGGACCCTGGCTATTCTTTGCAGAAAACATTGTCGTATTCTATCATATGAATCTGGATTGGTTCATGTTAGGTTTTGTTAGTCCTGTAAGATGTTAGTTAAGTATCTTGGTGGCAGGGACAAAAAAAAAAATCTCTCATTTTGGCTGGGTGTGGTGGCTCCCACCTGTAATCCCAGCACTTTGGGAGGCTGAGGTGGGTGGATCACGAGGTCAGGACATCAAGACCATCCTGGCCAACATGGTGAAACCCTGTATCTACGGAAAAAATACAAAAATTAACCAGGCATGGAGGCGTGCACCTGTAGTCCCAGGTACTCAGGAGGCTGAGGCAGAGGTTGCGGTGAGCCGAGACCATGCCACTGCACCCCAGCCTGAGTGACAGAGCAAGACTCCATCTCAAAAAAAAAAAAAGAAAAAAGAAAAAAAGTCTCTCATTTTCACTTCTATCTCCCAGTACTTAGCAAAAAAAAAAAAGAAAAAAGAAAAAAAGTCTCTCATTTTCACTTCTATCTCCCAGTACTTAGCATGGTATGTTTACACAAAAGGCTTTACTCCATCTCATCTCCCACCACCACACTCCACTCATATAGAACTCTCTGTTTCTAGAAGATTCCACACCCTTTTATGCAGCTGCGGAAGGAATGCAGCATGGCACAGCTGTTCACAGCAGGGGCACCAGAGTCAGACTGCCTGAGCTCAAATACTGGCTCCGCCTCATATTACCTGTCCAGCCTCTATGAGCATCATAATGGCCACCTACCTCATAGAGGTAAGGAGGTACCTCCATGTAAAGCATTTAGCAGTGCCTCCCCCACACAAGGTACCCATTGAATGTTAAATACATACTTATTACTGTTATCATAGCAGGCAAAGACTCAAACTGTTACCAAACGTGGACAATGATTTCACATGCTGCCACAAACACTTGACACCAAATATACCTCTTTCGATTCAATCTAACTGAAGCTTCAAACCTGAATCTGTCACACACTAGCCTTATCATATTTCATCTTACTCACCCTTCTGGAACTGATTTTTCCTAGAAATGGGTACAATTCATACTGATTCTACTTGAGGGAATCTGGTTCTCTTTTTCAAGAACCAGAATCACTTCCTTCCTAAGATTCCCACCTTGCCAGTGGCTTCCCTGCCATCTCTCTGTGTGTTCCTCACCTCTGCCCATTCCAGCTTGGAAGTGTTACAGGTGGGAAAGAGACAGGGAAAGTGTCTTCTAGTAACCAGACTGGGACCCTGGCTATTCTTTCCAGAAGACATTGTCATATTCTGTCATATGAATCTGGATTGGTTCATGTTAGGTTTTGTTAGTCCTGTAAGATGTTAAGTATCTTGGTGACAGGGACAAAAAAAAATCTCTCATTTTGGCTGGCTGTGGTGGCTCGCACCTGTAATCCCAGCACTTTGGGAGGCTGAGATGGGTGGATCACGAGGTCAGGAGATCAAGACCATCCTGGCCAACATGGTGAAACCCCTTCTCTACTGAGAAAACACAAAAATTAGCCTGGCATGGTGGTGTGCACCTGTAGTCCCAGGTACTCTGGAGGCTGAGGCAGGAGAATTGCTTGAACCTGGGAGGTAGAGGTTGCGGTGAGCCGAGATCGTGCCACTGCACTCCAGCCTGAGCGACAAAGCAAGACTCCATCTCAAAAACAAACAAACAAAAAGTATCTCATTTCATTTCTGTCTCCCAGTACTTAGCATGGTATGTTTACACAAAAGGCTTTACTCCATCTCATCTCCCATCACCACACTCCACTCATACAGAACTCACTGTTTCTAGAAGATTCCACACCTTTTCCTGCAGTTGGAGGAGGAATGCAGCATGGCACAGCTGTTCACAGCAGGGGCACCAGAGTCAGACTGCCTGAGCTCAAATACTGGCTCCGCCTCATATTACCTGTCCAGCCTCTACCAGCATCATAATGGCCACCTACCTCATAGAGGTAAGGAGGTACCTCTATGTAAAGCATTTAGCAGTGCCTCCCCCACACAAGGTACCCATTGAATATTAAATACATACTTATTACTGTTATCATAGCAGGCAAAGAGTCAAACTCTTATCCAACGTGGACAATGATTTCACATGCCACCACAAACGCTTGACAGCAAATATATCTCTCTTTCCATTCAATCCAACTGAAGCTTCAAACCTGAATCTGTCACACACTAGCCTCATCATATTTCATCTTACTCACCCTTCTGGAATTGATTTCTCCTAGAGATGGGTACAATTCATACCGATTCTACTTGAGGGAATCTGACTCTCTTTTTCAAGAACCAGAATCACTTCCTTCCTAAGATTCCCACCTTGCCAATGGCTTCCCTGTCATCTGTCTGTCTGTTCCTCACCTCTGCACATTCCAGCTTGGAAGGGTTACAGGTGGGGAAGGGACAGGGAAAGTGTCTTCCAGTAACCAGATTGGGACCCTGGCTATTCTTTGCAGAAAACATTGTCGTATTCTGTCATATGAATCTGGATTGGTTCATGTTAGGTTTTCTTAGTCCTGTAAGATGTTAGTTAAGTATCTTGGTGGCAGGGACAAAAATTCTCTCATTTTGGCTGGGTGTGGTGGCTCACACCTGTAATCTCAGCACTTTGGGAGGCTGAGATGGGTGGATCACGAGGTCAGGAGATCAAGACCATCCTGGCCAACATGGTGACACCCCGTCTCTACTGAAAAAATACAAAAATTAGCCGGGCATGGAGGC